ATCTTGAAAATTTATCAGCAGGTAAGGTACGTTGCTTATGTCCTTAAATTCACAAAATTACAGTACATTCATTGTGATAGACTTAAATCTAGTACTTTCTGTTAGAATACACACGAAAATACATGTAAATGAATCAAAAAAATTGATTAAATTAAAAAAAAGAAAGAAATGTTGAAGGTTTGTTTCAGCCCAGATTCCTTCTTTACTGAACTAGAATAGAAGAGTTTGAATTGATGGTTTGAAAAAAATATATATACAGTTATTGACTGGGTATGAGAGCAAATTCAGGTCCAACAAATAATGCATTTCCCGAATTCCAGTCTCCAGTCTCCAGAGTCCAGTACTCACCTAAGATTTAATAAATACGCACTGTATTATAGGGTTATTGAACTTATATCAGTGAATATTGGCACGAGTTGGCTGTTCAAATGCACGATCTTGCTTGGAAAATAATGCTTAATCAGTAAATACAAAACAACAGCGGAGAAAGAACAAAATTAATAACTTATTATATTTCAATTATTTCACAAAAATTATTTATCACAAAAACATGCCCTTCCCTTCTTCCTTGCACGTAGCAACAACTCTTGCCGCTCTTAACTTCCGATATTTCCCTCTCGCCGATATTGAACGATGATTAATTACTTGTGACGTAGCAGTGACGTTGCAGTCTAACGATTCTTATGTTGGACTGGCAGGCCAATCAACAGTAAAATTGTTGTACCGATGTAATAAAATGGAACGTCAATATTTTTATGTATTCTTCGTTATTAGAATTCATCTTTATAATTTTTTCAAACATTCACAGAATATTAAGTTTTAATGCGTTATCAACGAAGCCATATATACTACAGCCAATATTAGAAGACTTTGGATAATGTTTAGATAGAAACAAAACAGTTATAGACTGGAATTCGGAAAATATATTATTTGTAGGCAGTAAGGTTACGTAATGACTGTTCTTTAGTCTTTTTGATGATGAGTTTTGATCGGTTTGTGTTATTAGCTATATAATAATATCCATTACTTTATATGAAAAATAATGCTTAATTAGTAACGAGAAAGAACAAAATTAATAACTTAGTTTATCACCTTACCTACTACATAAATTATAATTAGGCACAACTGCGGTTTACTTTAGAATGAACAAAATATAATAACTATATATTTATCAATTCCAACAAAAGAAACCTACTATATAAATTATAATTAGGCACGTCACTCGTTGTTAATCTGTTCAATATCACGAAAATAGCCGAAGTTAAAGAGCTATTAAGAGTTTACTTTATGTTTTTGTGATATAATAGATTTATAATTGATTTTGTTCTTTCTCAGCTGATGTTCACTGAAGAAACCATAATTTTTCCATATAAAATAATTGTAGTATAGCGTGTATTGATAAAATTGATCAATCTCAAGTGAGCCACAAAATGAACTGTTGCCTGTCAGGTCCAACAAATCATTATACCCAGTCAATAACTGTATATCGTGATATCGTTCAAGCGTTTTGATGATCACGACATCACTATTTACCTGCTCTAAAATTAATCAAATTTAAATAAAACACAAATACAATCATTTCATTAAGAGTTACTTTAAATTAAAAATATTAATTTAAACTTTATATTATGTGCTCAGCTAATTAAAAGACAAGTATGTGAATAAACAGTTGTGAAAACTTTTTATTAAATGTTTGTATGTTTTTATCATGTTTATTCCAATTTAATTAATTATATGGTAGGTTAGGTAATAAAACACTTATTCAATGACTACTCGGTGAAACAGTCAAACTGTTGTCCCTCGGTAGTGGGGGAGACCTGGGAAACAGTTTCCCAAGGCCGAAGGTCGAGGGCAACAGTTTCTCAGGTCTCCCCCACTACCGTGGGACAACAATTCGACTGTTTACCTCGTAGTCATTAAATAAGTGTATAATATTTCAATTATTTCACAAAAATTATTTATCACAAAAACATGCCCTTCCCTTCTTCCTTGCTTGTAGCAACAACTCTTGCCGCTCTTAACTTCCGATATTTCCCTCTCGCCGATATTGAACGATGATTATTTACTTGTGACGTAGCAGTGACGTTGCGGTCTAACAATTCTTATGTTGGACTGGCAGGCCAGTCAACAGTGAAATTGTTAGACCGATGTAATAAATATTTCTTTTGTTTGATTTTTTATTAGTAATAAATATATAGAAATCTATTTATAAGGGCATAACAATTAATGACCGTTGTTTTTTTTTAGGTAAAAAGTTATTTCATTTTCTTTTTAGTTGTCCAGAGAAAGAAAATGAATAGTAAACAGTCTGCGAGAAATAAATAGCAGTCTTCTAATATTTGCTGTTGTATATATGGCTTCGTTGATAACGCATTAAAACTTAATATTCTGTGAATGTTTGAAAAATTCCTAAAGATGAATTCTTACAACGAAGAATACAATTGACGTTCCATCTTATATGCTCAATATCTTCCTCCTGATCGAATTTTTATGGAAACACCTGTATTTTTCTTATTATTTCATCATAGATATTCATATTATGATGTAAAATAAATAGTTAAAAGCATTCTTAGGTAAAGGGGATTCAAGTTTGTTCAAATGGAGGACCACGCCCTCATTCAAGGGGACATAATTAGTGAAAGTTTGGTGGCATGTTTTAAAAATCTTCTTCTCAAGAACCTGTGCAAGGAAAGATAAAACTTATGTGGAAACATCCTCAGGTAGTGTAGATTCAGGTTTGTTTAAGCCATGACCCGTGGGGGTAGGACAGGGCCACAATGGTCGATCAAAGTTTTACATAGAAGTATATAGGAAATTTTTTTTAAATCTTCTTCTCAAGAACTGCAAAGCCATAATTGATCATATCTAAATAGAAGCATCCTCAGGTAGTGAAGATTGAAGTTTGTTTAAATTATGACCCCGAAGGTAGTTTTGCATTCTGGATTTCTAAGAATGGTGTCCAAGTATTTCAAAATTCGTTTTTTCAGTCCTTTAACGCAAGGGTTAAATTTAGTTACCAGTACTGTAGAATTACTTAATGATTGTTCTTTAGTCTTTTGGATGATGAGTTTTGATCTGTTTGTGTTGACCGTTTCCTTGATAATAGGATCAATTTCCGAAGTAGAGTAACCTCGCTTTGTCCTAAAACATCCAGTATTCGTATTTTAAGCATCAGCATTATAAGCATGTATATTTCGTTTAATTTGATTTGTATATATTTAGTTACAGGTATTTGACTATTTATGAGTATGGTGTACAATTGCTGTCATAATAGTTTATCCGTAAAGTAGCAATTCGTAATATTGCATCTGTGTAGGAATTGTACATATAATTTTAACTTCCAATGAGTGTGTGTAATTGAGTCTTATCTAAGACGTGTTCATTATGATCATATAATGAGTGTAAAGTATACTTGCGTAAAGCCACTAGAGCTTGTAAGTAAATATTGTGTGTATATGTTGGAGCAGGTTCCAGTCATACGTCAAAGTTGGTGTACGACAGTGAGGTTGCCTGTGTTTATCGTGGAGTGTTGTATATAGGCCGCCACCCTTGGAACCTATAGTCCATCCTCCAGCCTGTGAGGTGGAAAGCAAGAGGGTCAACTTGTCACCAGGACAACAGCAGCAATCACAATGACTTTGTAAATTTTTATTAAAAATTACTAAATATGTAAATTGTAAGAAAGAAACAAGAATTTGAGTTATATTTAAAATCTGTAAAAAGGTAAATCCGCTCGACTATCTGTGACACATAGAAATATGAAGGACAATTCTTTAAAAATCTTCATCTCAAGAATTGCAAAGCCATAATTGATCATATTTAATATGTGGAAGCATCCTCAGGTTGCCCATCAAAGTTTTACATAGACATATATAAGAAAGGAATTAAAAAAGCATTTTCTCGAAAATAGCAAAGCTATGATATATTGGTCAATGGACTATACTTTTGAATTTAAACTTTTCAATAATAAACCAATATCTACTTTTTCCTAGCCACAATGCTCAGGTGAGCGATGTGGCCGATGCGACGCTTGTTTTAACAACTCTTACAAAACTCGCATGAAAATATTTTTAACAGTTGTGGTTAGGTCTTCCATACTTCCACCGTTCACGGTAGCTCAGTCGGTAGAGCGCTCGCTCCGTGATCGGGAGTCGTGAGTTCGTATCTCGGCCGCGACTGACATGCTTGCTTGATGAGGCGTGCTAAAATTGTGTGTACTGATTTTCATTTTAACTCATTGATTGGATTTTTGATTTGAATGGAATCATAAATACTTTGATATAAGGCCAAGGTCTAGGTCTAAAGGTCAACGTTGTTAATATCTTAACGAATGTTTTGTCACAAGTTCAAAAGTTATGGCCAACGTCACAGATTTTTTAATTAGTTCAAACAGTGGTGCAAAGGTTAGAAGGTCAATATGTAATTAATAAAAAAAAAAATGTCTTGTCTCTATGGAATATATGAAAAACATGTATATATGTTTTTCTCAAAACATAGTCCCTGGCATTAAGGTTTTGAAATATTTATGCATTTAAAGGAATGAAATTCCTTTTTTGGGATGGGTGGATGGGTTTGAGCTGGGGTTGTGAGTCTCAATTTTTTTAAGACTAAAGCGTTAAATTATTATTCTTTGAAAGATGTATTCTCAATTATGCAAAGTTGTAACGCGCTATGCTCACTTTCTTTGCTCACAGGATCTGGCGCAGTTATGAGAATACATTTTTCATTAAAAAAATAATTTAATGCTTATATCTATATCCCTTTCTATCCTTGTCTACAAATGTTAGTTGTGTATCATTTATAAATGAAAAAAAGGTCATCAGGCGTTTTTTCATACAGTGGCTCTTTTTTCTGTAGAATTCTAGATATAAGAGATATAAATCAAACCAACATATAGAGCCTTATTATTAAAGAAATTCATTCTTTAGGATTGCCTGACTATATATTCAGGTGGGCAATCATTTTAAAATTCATGGCGTGTATAAGGAATAAGCACATGCTTCATTGTCATTTATTTACTTCATAATATCATAAGATTAATAATAAAATAAGATATAGTAAGATTAAATCAAAAAGTTTATTATGCAGAAAGAATAAAGGCAATCGCTTTAATGGATAATAAGTTTTTTTTATAGAATGTTTAGAATATAATGAAACTTTATTAAGAAAATCATAACATAATAATATAAGACCAATAAAAATATAACTTTGTATTATAACATCAATAACAGAACAATGACTAGAATTATAACACCATGATCTATGATATATAGATTTGAATTAGTATGTACATGTATAAATGAAATATTTAACACATCATGAACATCAAAGAAACCTCCTAACTGAATGAATGTCTTGACTTTAACCAAAAGTCTTTAATCAACAATATTAACCACAAGTTAAACACAAGGTACACGTCATATAACGTATTCAGTGAGATTTAATCATCATGAGAGTCTCCGTTATATCTCCCCCATTCTTAAGTAGCGGAAACCAGGGTTCCCACCAGTATGCCGGGGACCAGGGACCGTTGAGGTTGGCATCATGGCAGTTGTTATACCACCAGCCGCCGCCTCCTCCGTGATCAACAGCACAGTTATAACTACCAGCTCTGTCGTGGTCTCTGTCTGGGGTGGAGAACGACATCCCGGACAGATCTTGAGTAGATCTCCCCGTGTCTAGCATACGGTCACCTACAGTAATCAAAGATAAAATATTACACGACAATCTATATCTACTGTATCTAAATGATAAAATGAACAGTATCAAGGATAACATGTTAAATGACTATTTTAATATCAATATGATATAATGAATAAATATTACATGACTATCTATATCAACTATATCTACATTTCATAATAAACAGTATCAAGGAAGAAAATTACAAGACAACATCAATTATATATTTATGATTTAATGACCAGTATCAATATACATTTATTGCATGATAGTGAGGGAAATATGAAGATTTCTTTACCCATGAATCCCCGAGGGGAATATGATTTTTCATGGATGAAGAAATCTTCATATTTCCCGAACATTGAATTAATAAGTTGTTTATTATACTGAATCAAGCATTGCATCAAATTGATATGAATAAAAATGATGATCATAATTAATAAATTTATTAAACACACACTATTTTAACAGGTATTCAAGTAAGAACTGAGAAACATCATGAAACATGTACCATTTCATTTCTCTCTGAAAAAAAATTCATAATGTTTTGTATCACAGACAAGAAAAACTTAACAATTTTAATAACAGACAAAAATTTGGTTAATTGAAAAATATCAGAATTTCACAAAAAAATTAACTGCTTAATATCACAGATAAGAAAAAATTACAATTGTAATAACAGACAAAATTTAGCAAATTAATCCCAAAAATATTACAATTTAAATGATATCTAACTTCTTTGTTTAATATAATGAAAATAATATTTAATTATAACATTTTTAACACAAAACAAGTATTATCAATGTTTTTAGACTGGAAAATAAACAATATTCAGTCTTGTAACAATAGATAAAGCAATGAAACTCAACATATTAAATCAGTCTCATGAAAAAGTTCATTACTTGTGATAATTTATATTTACTTGGACTGGGCAATTTCCGGCGAAATTTGGTCTAAACCATCGAGGTCCACTACTAGACACATCCAGCTGATTTTGGGACACAGGCTTCCTTTGATTAATTTCAAAGAGAACATTTGAAAGCTCGACATTTGACTGAACATTATCGAGAGGATCAAGTTCAAAGTCCTCTGCAAAAACACTGGCTAGATCACTAAGATTTTCCCTGACTGTTTCAGGGATTACATTTTCCTGTGTTGTGTGTTGGTGTCGAATGGCTGCACGTAGGGTTTCTGATATTTCCCTCTTCTTTCCGTCACTTATAAAGTAGGAGTATGATTCGAGTGCGGTCTCAGACTTATGGCCATAAACTTACATTATATGTCGCCCACTGATACCAGCCACATCTAAAACTGTGATACTTGTCGCACGTAAAGAATGGTTCCGATAAATTTTTGAAAGTTTTCCCACATTTGAGATGTCAGACAAGGAATTTTTTCCCTACAGATGCGTTTACATACCATACATCCTCATCATGATCTAATGAATCTCGTGGTCTCTGCCACAGGTCATTCTAATTGGGATTCAACTTGGATAAATACTTTTGAAATGAAAACACAGGGCAGTTTTTGTTTCCTAGAAATATGAGAATAAAAATGCAATAATACATGTGTATTCTGTAAAATACCAGAGACCTCTATTTATACATAATTGTTTCAACAGTTAATATATCTATTATTCATTACCTGGTAACTCGTACATTCGCCCATCTGTTACACTCCCTGCTGCATCTGCTCTGTGATTCTTATCCTGCTCATCAACGGACTGATACACATACTGTCTACCAACATCATCTCTGGCTATCTTGAATGTATCTTTAGTCATGGACCTCAAATTTTTTGACATAACTTTGCATAGGTACAAAGTTTTTCAAACTTTTTTTATCATATGGAGTATTTATCAAATACTGGGTTTCGACGCTGATAAATTTCTCAAGATCTTTTTCATATTTTTCGGGAGGGTAACGATCAATTCCCAAAGCCATTTTCTTTCCAAAGTTTTTAGAAATTTGCTTTAAATATTTCATAACTTTTTGAATAATCTATAACAATGTCGAATGTTTTTTTTTCTCTTTCAAAAAAGTTTTAATAAAAAATGTTCATAATTACTTGTTTGAAAAAACTCTCTAAAAACGTTTTTCTGCACCGACATAAAAGGATTTAACGCTTTGTTTGTCTAACTATCAAAGAAAATATATTTTGTCAAAAGGGCAAATTCTGCAAAAAAAGTCACGAAGACATTTTACTGCCACATTTTTAGCTTTTTGTGTTAATAGCGTCCTTTTCGTTCAATAATAATGTGCAATCCTCACTGCCAGGCTCGTGAAACCATGCCATGTTTGTTATCGTCTGATTTATTCGGACTTTTTCGGGTTTGTTTATCTAGCCGGAAATGAAAGTGAAACAAGAGACATCCCAAGGGGTGGAACACGACGTTTTGCTGCAGGGAAAACACAACGGCCATGTGACCTTCTCAACCAATCAGATTTTATTTAAGTAGTTTTTATTTATATGAGGTATCTTAATGTAAATTATATTCATATCCAAATAATAATGATAGAATTTTAGTATCGAGGATAAAATATTACACGACTATCTATATCAAATGAAATTATTCCTATTTATAGAGTTTTATCTATATGTATTAAATATTACACCATCATATATATCAAATCAGATAATTCCAATTTCTATTACAATATTTTTAAAGAAATTCCATATCTTATATTAATTAATATTGTACATCCTTATAATTACTATTACATGTGGAAATTTGTTCCTATACAAATCTAGGAATTGCGCAAAATACGAGGGGCGTTCAATAAATAATGTCATTAGCTCCATGACATACAACAAAGAAATCATATGATATTCTATACGTTTTCTAAATTAAATCTTAAAAAATGATACAGTTTATGTGTACTTTTCATTTTTTAATTTCATTGTTAACGAAAACAAGGGTCGAGACACTCTTTTAAAAAATGAATGGTCAAGAATCAGTAAATTAGAGTAAAATTAAACGCGTCATTAAAGCTGCTGTAAAACTTGTTATTTTTAATTTAAATATATTACTGAAATATGTGAAATTTTTACAGCAAATGTCTGTTTCATACACACATGAACAGGTGATTTCAATTAACATAAATTATATCAAGTCATCCATTTTAAAGTATTTTTTCAACAAGGACATACAAGTTCAACCAATGTAATTACCCATAATTCAACAAATCCTCCTGATAACGCGTTATCACGGATTAAGTTTTATTGACTTGTAAGTTTCATAGCAAATTTGATAGACACAGGGGATAGTTCACACTGTTTTAAAGAAACATTTCGTTGTAAAAAAGTATTCCACGTGATACTCATATATGTCACTATATTTAAAATATGAGTGAAAACGAGAGGTGTAGAAAATCTAAGCAATTATTTTTAAAAAATCAAAAAATGTTCTTTTACACATTTTTCTGAAATTCAAACAGATCATGATTCTCGTGTATACATGTATTTATTAAACCCTCATGTGTTTTATAATAAGATCACTTGACAAAACTGCAAAGACCTAAAATTGCAAAATATATCTTGGAACACAAAAACAGTTTTATACGCTATGTTTTTAATATAACTATCATTGTTGTTCAAATACATATATGATTGTTCAATTTCTGGAGGATTTAGTAGCACAAATATTTGCCAAAAAATTGAAAGGTTTATGAGAGGTGTGAAATTTTCACTACATTAAATGTTCTTTAGTAGCGTCCAATCCCACAGGCCATGTAGAGTAAAGGAGTTTTCAAAAACATTTTTAAAATGTTTTTCATCAACATGATTTAATATTCGCCAGATCTTTCAATCTTTGACTTTTTTCATTTGTGTGTGTGTCAGAAAGATAAAAACAAGCACAGCAAATCATAGGATTGCCATTTTCCAGTTTACAAAGGGTCATACTAAAACTGTGTTCTAAAAACAATTGTATTGAATATATACATGTCTTTTAATTAAAAGAGAATATATTTTACTTAAATAATTAAGATAAAATCATAGAAAAGCGATTTTTGTCTCTTTCCGAGCCCTGATGACATTATTAATTGAACGCCCCTCGTAATATAATATTTGTAATGTGTTACTGATCGCACATGAAATAAAATGATGTTTGCCCGCTAAGTGAAATGTTGGACCAGTTGATCATATGTTGGACCGCTTACTTACAGAATGGTCGGAGCTTAATCTCATTTCCTTTCCTTGCAACCATCAGTCGATTGTTTTGCATGATAATTTTATGCATAATCACGCAAGCCAATCGATTGTTCACATCATTAAATAGAAAAATAAGATAGTTATTCCTTAAGCACACATTGAAAATAATGTTAATTATTTAAAACAAAGACATGCCTCAAAACAAGTTACTGTTGTAATGTTCGGATATCATTTTACGAACCTTATTCCCATTTTTTGCATTTGCATTTAAAACTTTATTGTACCAGAATCAATAATATTTTCCCATTTCTTTCTTAACTATTTTCTGAACAGGACTTATTCAAATTGACCTCAATAACATGCTTTCTATTCAAATGTAGCATTGCGTTTGTTTGCTATGTCATTTATTTCTGATATTAATTCTCTCTCTCTCTCTCTCTCTCTCTCTCTCTCTCTCTCTCTCTCTCTCTCTCTCTCTCTGTGATGTCTTAGCACAAAAGGTTTCCATCGGATTATATTTTAACTGTGTTACAGAGGTTACGCGAAGCACTAAAATTTGACGGTACTTTCGCGATCAAACTCGCAATTGAATTATGTCATATCATATAATAATAATTTATAAAAGAATAAATGCACACAATTATTTTTTAGAGATCACTAATTCGTCACCCAAATTGTATGGTCGTATATATCTTTAAAGGTACTTGGACACAGATTTGAAAAATTTTCTACATTTTAACTGTATAATATCACGTTTATATATTTTAATAACATTTCACACATTAATTAAAAATCTTGTTTCGTTTAAAGGTTATTATAACTTGTAAATTTTTTGGCACCTTTGAATGATACATCCTTGCACTTTCACAAATTTTAACTGTATTCTACCAACATAATCCTTAGGAAAAGTGGCAATTTTGATGTGTTTTAATGAGAAATATTAAAACTTTTATCAAGAAAAATAATTTTATTCAGAGTAGAAATGTTATTTTAAAGCAAAACATTTTCACAAGTATCGTTATTCCAACTAAGAGATGCGTATTGCAGAGTTTAGAAAATCGAGCACACTCGTGTTATGTACACAGTTTTTGTAAACAGGGCTCGAGTTCTTTTATTGTTTATATTTAGAAATCACCGGGTGCATTCAATCATCACAGTCTGCTTACCATAACTGCACGTACTGACAATATATTGTGTGTTTGTTTTGCTTTCGAACGTGTCTACTCTGAATTTTCTGGATTATAGTATTAATATTATTCATTTATACAAAACGAGATTGCCACTTTTCGTAAGGATTAAGAATAAAAAAATTTGTGAAGTGCAACGATATGTCAATCAAACCCGCTGAAAAATTTGAAATTTCAATATCTTTTAAACGAAATAAGATTTTTAATTAATTTTTGTGTGAAATGCTATTAAAATATATAAGTCGTAATATTATAGAGAAAATAATAACTTCAAATCTGTGTCCAAGTACCTTTAAAAACAAAAACATATGTTCTGAGAAGCAGAGGAAATTCCGGTCGATAAAGTTGAACTAATTCCAGTTTTGAAGGTAAATCTGCCTTGATTTTTTGTAAGTTTTCTTGATCGAATTACCGATAAAATTTGAATCGTTACTTTGTCGGAGAAAATTTAACTGTGCCGGGACCAACACAGCTCGTGGAGAAAACTAATACTCACCCAGTGTCCCGGTAGCTGGTCCCCCGAGATAAAGTCTGTAGTTGTCTGATTCATCAGACACAGAAAACTGATGGTAACGTTCATACAACGTTGTACCATTTCTTAGAGTTATGGATAAATAGAGGGCCGAGTTATTTTCCTTTGTCAGCTGGTGAATCACGTCATTTCCTACAATATATAATTGGAGTTTTTTTTAGCATAAATCACCGAATACTGAAAAAAGTTATTTTAACTACTAGTATAGATACAAATCTAAAATTCTATTTATTTAATAAATAGTATTTCCTTAAGATATAAATTAGTATCTACCGATCCAGTAGATGTCACTTAAATTTCCAAAACCTTTCTTATATTCCGCCCACATTCTGTTGAATGTCACTGATCCACCACTTCGTTTCTGAATTGCCTAGAGACCCAGATGGGTTAATAAAATATTCACAATCATTTTAAAATTGAAAAACTTAAAGTGTACACAACTTCACACTGGGGCCTAGTTGGGTAAATTACTGCTAAATCGAATGCTGATTATAAAATAAATAGAGGATATTCAATGTTTTGTAGTTGAATATGGAATTTATTTCACGAGTGGGACAGGATTTCGCACTCGTGAAAGTATCAAAAAATCTAAATTGAAAGAAATGAAATATAACATGAGCAAATCAATAAATTGAAGTCAGGTAGATATATTTGGAGAGTAACTCTCAACCAATGGTCGAAAAAAACATAAAATTAAAATGTTCATTTCAACTAAAAGTCAAAAAGCGTTGAATTTTAAGAGCAGCTAAATCGGGAGAATTGGAGTATTTATTTTGCATATCAAAGACCATGCAAGACAAGGAGTTGAATTTCACGCGTGGCTAAATCAAGAAAATATAAAATATACATGCAAATTGAAAATAAGACGAGGAGCCGAATTTCAATAACCATATTAAACAAATCAAAATTTTGAATTTTGTAATATGCATATCAATGAAAATAGAGGATTTGAAATTTAAGAGTGGCTCAATTACGAGAAATAAAACATATTGATGTGCACTGAAAATGTCAAATTATTTAATAGTGAAAATATTTGATGTGCATATTATTGTGCATATTAATGATTTCAATCATTTGCGCTCTTTGTAAGTTATTATTCCCTATTTTAATTTTGTTGAAGGTTGGTCCTCTTAGTTTGAAATATTTGTGTGAAAAGCTGCTTTATTTATTTTTTTCATCAGAGCACATAACACATATAACGCAAATATGTATCAGTTACCTCAACTCATTTTAACAGTAAGTAGTTGATCCTTACATCGTGCGTTCGAATCCCACTATGGGACGTGGTGATCGGTCCTTCAGATGAGAACGTATAAATCGAGGTCCTGTGTCGCAGTATGTGCTGGCACAAAAAAGATCCATCACTGATCAATGGCCGCAAAGTGCCGAGCATAGGGCAAAATTTGCAGCTCTACATTGGCAAGTGGTGATGCCTAGTCATATGAGTAAAAATTCTCGAAAGGGATGTTAAACAACGTACAAACAATATCTCTCTCTCTCTCTCTCTCTCTCTCTCTCTCTCTCTCTCTCTCTCTCTCTCTCTCTCTCTCTCTCTCTCTCTCTCTCTCTCTCAATGTTTAGTAGTTGAATATGATATTTATTTCACTCGTGAGACAGGATTTTATGATACTTTCACGATTGCGAAGCAGATCTAAATTGTGGAAGACAGTGGTTCTTTTATTGTTTGGCTGTTTGCACAAGAAATAAGGCATTTAATATTTTATCAACTGGTACAGCTCATTAGTTCCCTTTCAGATTAATATTTGATTTACTTCGACTATCTTAACTAGGTGCTTCTCGCTTTGTTTACAAAATAAGTAGTGTTCTATATATAAACACTTCATCACTAGTTATCGCGGGAAAATTGCACTGGTCATTAGCATACTGGATCAACGCAAGGATTAGTTTATTTATATACCACTAACACGTCAGTCTTGTAAAAATAACCTGGTTTGCACAATATTTAATTGTGTAAATTTTCTATCAAAATCTATTTTCAAATTACTTAAAATAAGTTGAAATAGTTGAAAATACTAGTATTTATTGACTTAAAAAATCAAAACTTTGTTTGCACGACATGTCACAATTTTTGACTGCATGCTCCTTGCACTATTTTCTCTCGCGGATTGACACAAATTCCAAAAAAAAAATAAAATGGTAAGTATTTAATTATAAACACTTCAAATTATATCAGGAAATATATTCTTATTCTGTAGATCATAAATATTGTAAATAAGCCAATATTATACAAGAATCTGTATGCAAAATACTCAAACGAAAATGTGATTAGTTTCGATACATGGGGAATCCCTTATCAGTAACATAACTTGAGTTGATGCCATCAACTCGTAAAAAAACCTTCGATTTTTCCTTTGCCTCTGTCTTTTTGTAATACAATCATATTCTCGTGACGTCATAATTGAGCTGTTGAGACGGCATAGCTAAGTGAGGTGAAAACACTGTAAACATGGATTTAGCAACATATTTTTGGTAATTTTGACAGTTTTATTCGCTGTCAGAATTGTTTCTTTATTTCCATCTATCTTATATTAGGTCAATGAAGATTTTTCTTAAAGCAATCTTCGTTATGGGTTAATAAAATATTCACAATCATTTTAAAATTGAAAAAGGAAAGTGACATCCTTCACACTGGGGCCTAGTTGGGTAAATTACTGCTAAATCGAATGCTGATTATAAAATAAATACTGTTCATTGTGCTACTCTTAGTTATATTTTGTTTATATTTTGATATGTATTATCTATATGCCATTACCCTTACTTTAAATTTCAGTTAAATTGCATATTCATATCAAGATACATCAACAGCACTTTGCATTCAGCAAAAAAAAAAACTTCATAAAATTTGAAGTAGTCTTGACTTGAAACTAAAGTATGTGAGAGAGAGAGAGAGAGAGAGAGAGAGAGAGATCTTACTGTCCAACCCCCGCCATCTGTTACCATATCACAATACACCCGGACCTGGCTGTTGTTACCAAAGGGATATATTGTATATAAACCTGAGAGTGTCTGTCCAAGTTCAAAATGATCCTTACAATCACTGCTTTGTTTTAAACCTGAATGTTAAAGGCATTATTTATAAAACAATCATTGTAATGATTGCACTTCCTTAAATTTTTTTTTATGAAAATTATTTATGACTTATAAGGCTATAAAATGAATGGTATTAGATGTGTGTGAAAGAGATAGGGAGATGTTGTGTGTGTGTGTGAGGGAGTGAAAGAGAGAGAGAGAGACTTACCTTTCTCATTAATTTGAACTTTACCGCCTTTGACATCATCATAGATGTCACTTATGTTTTCTTTAAGTATCTTGAACATCTCATCTAATTCCCGAATCTTATTTAGATATTTTGTAATCCTCCTGTTTTCCTGCTTCAGGGAATCAACCTGTCCTTGTAATGTTTCTATTTTTAGGTGTAAAGAGTTATCCTGACGTAGATAACTAATTTGACTTTTTAATGTTTCTACCGTCTGCTTTAAACTGTTATTCTTAATTACATTTTCCATCTGTCTTTGTAACGTTTCTACCCTCTGCTGTAAAGAGTTGTCCTGACTAAGATTATCTACCTGTTTTTGCAATGTCCCTATTGCCTTCGATAGAGTGTTGTCCTGACCTAGAGAATCAACCTGTTTTTTTAATAATTCCAGAGTCCGCTGTAAAGTGGTGAGCATCGATTTTGTAGACGCCATGCTTTGTTTCAAAGATCTAACATCGTCCACCACTGCTCTCACATCCTTGACCACAGACACCCTGATAAGGGTCTCTTGGTTTATAATCTGTCGTAGAATATCGATTTCCTTTATTTCACGCCTATTATTGATTTGGATCATAAGTACCGGTTATCAAGGAATCTGTCCGAGCTTGTGAAATTGAAATAAAAATCACTAAGAGAATGGAAAACATCCTGTCAGTTTGGAGATGAAATTTTCACAACAGAACAAGACTGTGCCATAACAGAGGAAGAATCACGGTATATATATAGTGACGTTTAGAAAATTCCAAGAAACAAGCCAATTTAAATGTAATGTATGAAGAATCACTACTAAAAATGGATGGAAAGACGATACACACATACCTCACCTAGAAATCTTTGACGTCAGAGATCCATTTTGTTGTTTTTCAAGGAAACAAATAAAACATGACTCACTGAAACTGCTTGCTGTTTTGTGTAGATAATGGAAGTGAAACAATTTGTTACAACGCATGCTAATGCCAATGGAATTTTTTTGGAGATAATAAAACTGAAAGAATTTCAAAAGAATGTAAGCTGCATGTTTTTCATCTAAATTTCCATTAATATATTTTTCCAAATAAATCTGCCGAAAGGTATCAGACTTTGAGACAAATTTTTGGCCAGCCATATATATTTTTCTCAGAAACAATACTTTGAAAGAGATGAAGTGTATGAAAAAGACCCCAAAACGCACAGACACCGCTCAGTTACCTTTACACACCAATCATCTCTCGTTAACACATGCACAAACGAATAAATTTTAATGTTTTTACCGATACAATACAATATGATATACAAGAGGCGAAACAGGAAGAGGCGTCCTTTAAAATTATTTTCATACAAAATGTCTGTTTATTTATTTATAACAGAATCTCTCATAGTGGTCTTTCAAAAAAAGTTCAGTATAAAAGAAAAAAAAAATCAGTATAAAAGAAAAAAAGTGCTTATCACTTGAGTTCCAAACGTTTTTTGAAAAACATTGTTCCGCCTACTACGATTTTTTTTACTATTTTTAGAGTAAATATTTTGTGTAGAATCAGTGATTTTTTTAAAGAAAAATAATATAATTGACGTCCAATCACAGGATACGACATTTCTTGAGTTCGATTTAAAACTTTACCTAGGAAGAAAAAGTCTAGTTTTTCATAAATAATTAGGAATTGTTCAAATGATCTATCGGAATTCCCATTTTTATGCATAGTATATATTTTTGTATTCATATGATGCACAATTTGCTCCAAATCCTGTACGTGATAAGAAAAAAAAACATTAGCCGTTCTAAATAATCCTCTGACGCTAGCTGTATTTATTCATTTTTTTAAACAAGAAGAGGAAAAATATCGAGATAAAGAACAGTAAAAGGTACCATGGAGGAATCGCCATGGGCTTGCTCCTGAATCAGCTGAGATATATTAACTCCGTATACAGGTGTTGAAGTACGGAAGCCTAGAAGGGTCAAATATGGAAAATAAAAAAAAAAATAAAAAGTCGTTATTACGAGATAAAAAGTCGTTATTACGACTTAAAAAGTCGTTATTACGACTTAAAAAGTCGTTATTACGACTTAATAAAGTCGTAATAACGAGATAAAAAGTCGTTATTACGACTTAATAAAGTCGTTATTACGAGATAAAAAGTCGTAATAACGAGATAAAAAGTCGTTATTACGACTTAATAAAGTCGTTATTACGAGATAAAAAGTCGTTATTACGACTTAAAAAGTCGTTATTACGACTTAAAAAGTCGTTATTACGACTTAATAAAGTCGTAATAACGAGATAAAAAGTCGTTATTACGAGTTAAAAAGTCGTTATTACGACTTAATAAAGTCGTAATAACGAGTTAAAAAGTCGTTATTACGACTTAATAAAGTCGTTATTACGAGATAAAAAGTCGTTATTACGAGAAAAAAGGTGGTAGTAACGAGATAAAAAGTCGTTATTACGACTTAATAAAGTCGTTATTACGACTTAAAAAGTCGTAATAACGAGATAAAAAGTCGTTATTACGACTTAATAAAGTCGTTATTACGAGATAAAAAGTCGTTATTACGACTTAAAAAGTCGTAATTACGACTTAATAAAGTCGTTATTACGAGATAAAAAGTCGTTATTACGAGATAAAAAGTCGTAATAACGAGATTAAAAGTCGTTATTACGACTTAATAAAGTCGTTATTACGAGATAAAAAGTCGTAATAACGAGATAAAAAGTCGTTATTACGACTTAATAAAGTCGTTATTACGAGATAAAAAGTCGTTATTACGAGATAAAAGTCGTTATTACGACTTAACAAAGTCGTAATAACGAGATAAAAAGTCGTTATTACGACTTAAAAAGTCGTTATTACGAGATAAAAAGTCGTTATTACGACTTAATAAAGTCGTTATTACGAGATAAAAAGTCGTTATTACGAGATAAAAAGTCGTAATAACGAGATAAAAAGTCGTTATTACGAGTTAAAAAGTCGTTATTACGAGATAAAAAGTCGTCATTACGACTTTAAAAAGTAGTCATTACGACTTAATAAAGTCGTAAAAACGAGAAAAAAAGTCGTTATTACGAGATAAAAAGTCGTCATTACGACTTTTGGTATTATATAAGAACCTTTATTCCATAATTCGGCCTTTTCAAAAATCACCATGGAAGAAATTTGGAAATATATGCCTGAAGAAAGCGTCCAGAGAATGAAAGAAGAAAAGGTTTGTTTTTACCTGACATCACGATCGTAATTTATGATGTACTAAGATACAAAACTTTATTTTTCATTTTTCAGTATGCTTCCACTCTTTTGTTTGCTATTTTCGTCCACATATGATTCATCTATACAAGTTGACAAGTTTGAAAAAAGCTTTAAGTTAGAGTTTATTGGATTTTTTTTCTCTGTGATAATAATTCAAAGAATCTTAGTTAAAACATTTCTGTGACGTCATCTTTTGTTAAACCTGGTTCAATAAATTTGTTATTGTCCTGTCCAACCCCGTCCAATAAGTTACCTGTAGGTGTCCAATAAGATTCAACTTATTGGACAGGTACAGGTAACGTTAAAATGAGAACAAAGAGCGAGGCAAATAAGTAAACAGCACTTAAAAGGCAATGACAAATCTAACAATTTAATATGAACAACGTAGGAAAATAGTAGGCTAGCGTTAAATGTCAGTATTTCACAAAAAATCCTATTGAAAATGGCACAAAAAATCCAGTGAATTGAATGTCTCAGATTCATTATTGTAGACGCATCCGTGGCTCCGATCATAAAGTTCCTGGATTCACCGCCCATTGCTATATGATAGATTCATTTTCCAATGCTTGATTCACGGAACATAATCTGATAATATAGAATCCAATGAACACAATAATGCGTTTTCTTAAACACAACGTTGGGCTTTTTGTTTATTGAAATATCCATTTTTCCGCATTTAGCACAAAATTTTGCCCACGAAATTCCAACAGAATCTGTAATTTCGTTCAGTGATTTATTACCATTTGTCCACCTATTCCTGCGTCGTTTGAGCGAGTGTCTGTCGTTGTTTAAAGGAGTGGTTGGGGTAAAATCCTCCCGAGTTTGAAACCTGCACACAAAAGAGAAAGTGTTGCATTTCAAAAAAAATACACCAGACATAATCTCCCAATTTCAAAGAAAATGCTTAAACAGTTGTAGGATTAAAATACTTCAAATCCTATTGCTTTACAAAAATTACCCGTTAACGGGAAACTCCGAAACATAATAATATATATCTGGATTTCATAGTAAAAACTTGAACTGAGGCATCTTGGTGTAATCGGTAAATGGCATCGTCAAAACACCCGATTCTGAAGGCATTTTTTCCAAAATCAAAATGCACGTCGTCATCCGTGGTCGTTGCGTTGAAAAATGAATAAATTGTCAAGAATTTAGTAGAACTGACTTTTACGCATGCGTAGTTTAGATAAAAAATGTCGCAATGCGGACAAATTAGACTAAACAAAGTTAATGTTCATATTTATCGATATAAAACACCTCTCGATGATTCCTACAATTAATAAAATCAGAAGAAAAACCAAAACTGGTTTTCTTTGGCCTAACTTGGTGAACAGTGCCAGGTAGTCATTCAAGCAGAACGAGACCTTACCTGTAGCTGTCCAATAAGTTAACAATGGAAATGTTCGACAATGGTGAAATGTTTTAAGTAAGTTATAAGCCTCAAACTGTCCATTGTGTCAGATATTAGACTCTCCTCGGCGCTAACGCGCCTCGGGTCGTCTAATATCTGACATAATGGACAGTTTTCGTCTTATAACCATTACAGAACTGAAAACTGAAGAAAGTGCTTTCAGCATTTCTTTTGTCTATAGCAGATTTAGCCAATTAAAACCTCGTTTTCATCCTCAGTTCACTCCGCATAGAAATAGAAGCGTTCGTGCATGCAGATTCATGCATTTTTATCTCTTAATCAAAAGAACAGAAAATATACAATAACTTAATTTCAAATTCACGGAACAATATTTCTTGAAGTTATAAACCAATATCATTATCGGATCTTTAAGATTTTATGAAGAGCGGGTACATGGACATTGTAGCAGATTTAACAATCCCACGGTCACCAAACGGGATTCCACAAGCTCACTACTAACCCTGTTAGAGTTTGTCATTTCGCTTAATTGTTGAATCTTCATGGATACTGTATTTAGACAACGGAGACACCATTGTCCCTGCCATACAATAACAGCCATACTGAACCCTTAACTTAGAATAGCAATAAAGAACCATTGAAATATCCGTAACATTTTCTAGTACATAGGCGTCGGAAACGGGGGGGGGGGGGGGGGGGGTTTAGACTCTCACACTTTTTGGGGGCAAAGATATACATTATATATTTGGGGTTTACTTTTTTACTTTTTTAGCCCCCTCCCACTTTCAATTTGCCTATCCGAGCCTATGCAGTACTTTTTAGAACATGCAGAAAAAAAATATATTTTATGCAGATAGGTCCCATGTAACATGTAATCTTTCTTTAGCCTAATCTTTGCATAAAACATTTTTTATTTTAGTTTTTTACCTATCTTATTTTGACCTAGCTAGCCAAATCTTAACTTGAAATATAAAAAAAATACGGAGTCTGTTGGTGCCACGTACGAAAATTATTTTATCTGGCGGCCGCTACTTATTATTTGGCGGCCGCCACATAAATTATTTTGCAAAAGGTGAATGTTATTGGGTTAAGAAGATGGATGTTGACACAACCGCTGCTTTTTGATAAAAAAGTAAATGACAGAAAACGAATTCTTGGAAATCCCAAATGCAAAACTTTATTCATTCTCAACCAATCATAGCTTACAGCAAACACCATGATTTATGTCCGTGACCCCTGATGAGGCTTCTGAATAATCGAAACACTCTACAAATACTTGCATAATTGAAATCAAATATTAATCTGCTCTATGCAAAAACATTTCTACTAGTAGTGTGGATTGGAGTGTTGGTTCATAATAAATCTCTTAAAAGTTTGGTTGATTTATGTTGCTATTATAATTTTTACACTGTATCCACCTATAACCACACATAAAAACATGCGCGCGCATCAGGAAGCCAGGTGTTACCTGGATGCCGACAAATAAATTATGTGGCGGCCGCCAAATATTATATAGCGGCCGCCAGATATATAAGTGGCGACCGCCGGATAATATTTGGCGGCCGCCAATTAAATATGTGGCGGGCGCCAAATGTTGTATAGCGGCCACCAGATAAATTATGTGGTGGCCGCCAAATAATAAGTGGCGGCCGCCACATATTGTATAGTGACCACCAAAAAAAAATATGTGGCGGCCGCCAGATAAATTATATGGCGGCCGTCATAAAAATTATGTGGCGGCCGCCAAATAATAAGTGGTGGCGGCCACCAAATATACTAGTGGCGGCTGCCAGATAAAATATTTTTCATAGTTGGCACCAACGGGCTTCCGTAAAAAAACCCACTAGAATTGAAACAAAATAAACAACACTAATACATTGTTCTTACAAACCCATTTATCAGATTCAATAAGATGTCATAACCCAAATGCTTACTTTATGAAAAACAAGCTAATTCTATCTATCCCACTCGGGAGAAAAAGAAAAGCATGCACAGATCTAGGGGGTGCACTTTAGGAAAGGCGGGCGGTCACACAGAAGTATGAATTTATTACTTTTTTCAAAATAAAAATTGAAATACTAGGATTACCAAATTTATATCCCCGCCAAAATAACTGGCTATAAGGTATCAATAAATCCTGCGGTGGAAAGATGCATCGAAGCATTGAAAATAGAATGACAATTTAAATAAAAAATTACCGACTACAATTAATTTTTAATTGATTTTTTTTATTATTGAAAAAAGGGGAGATAACTCTGAACAAAATTCAAGGTCATAAATTAGGACACATCCCACTATACATACTTATAGTAATAAATGGGAAAT